GGGGGGGGGAGGCAGCGCGCGACCCGGACCGGCACGCAGCCTCCGGTCGCCAGGCCCTGCCGCCCGTGCCATTCAAATTTATTTAAATCCGGATTTCGGAGCCAGCCGGATCGCGCACCTGGTCGCCGCGGAGACTTTGCATGCTCTATCGCCGACGCGGCGCGGCGGCGCCCAAGCAAGTCGGGAAGAGAACCCAGGGGGTGGGGGAGAGGGACGGAAAAAGAATGAGGGGGAGGAGTAGAATGACAGCTTGGCCTCCTCGTGAGGATTTTATGTGAATTTTGTGTCAGAGGTTTCAATATATCCAAATCATACGGATATCGAGAGAATCGTTAATAACTGAAGATTTCCGAGCCTGTCGAATTTGAACAATCGCAGATGTGACATTAATCTCGTTGAACAAAATGCGCACGAATTATTTTTACATTGCGAGGTAAACATTCATTTTTTGATCAACGTGTGTCAACATCACATACATTTCAAGTGATGGTGCTAAAAATGTTTCAAGAAATATTATTAAAACAAGCTACTTTTACAAATTGTTTCGCTTACGTATTCCCAGTTCGTTTTAAACCCCAAAATTTTACAATGTATCAATCCAGAAATTTTATAATATGCGATTAAAATTTTGTTTGACATTGTATTCAATTAATGGAATTGTTTAATTATTATATTAAAAAGCTATAATACAAACAAATGTTAAAGTAAATAAACCAAAATTTATTGAGTATAATAGCAATTGCCTTAGGGAAAAAGAAAAAAAATATTTATAGTACATTATCCCGATGTTCAAAAGCTTCAACTCGGAGAAAAATACTAAAATAAACAAAGCCCTGAATATAGAAAAAAATCCTTCTCAGATATTGTCACAACCATCTTACATTTCCAATTTGCGGGCTTTGTTTTGGGTAAGGTCACTTAGTAAAGTAAGTTCAAACACACGTCAAACTGTAAATTATAGTACAGCGTATTCCACATATTTTGTTTCCTATATATATACTCTATTTCGTAATAAAAAGTCATTTTACAATTATACAGATCAATCCTACTATGATCACAAATTTTAAATGGATATGCGAATGAGTTGGGAAAGTTTTAATACAAGTATCTTTCTTAATTTCCTATTGAAATCGGTTTTGAAATTTTAACATTGCAGGTTTTATTCTGCAAAAAATATTGATTTTAAGACATATTAGTATTAATTCATATATACGTACGTATACGTGAAAGTAAAAATATCTATCTTCAAGATTGTAACGTACGAAGACGCAGAAAAAATTGAACTTTTGCCATTTTCGAAACATCAGAGATTTCTTCGAAAAGACTTTAAAACATGTTCTATGCTAACTGAGGACAGTGTTTAATCAAAACATTTGGAACCATTTTCGAGAACATTTTGAAAACAATAATGTCAATACATACATGTGCCCCAGAATAAATGATACAAACTTCGAGAATTTGCAATGGGGTAGAAAACAATCACGTTGTACGAATGCACATATAGTGTGAAATTATATGCAAAGTGAACAGAACGATGTTGCATGCTCATATACATATGGCATTTACCTCTGATTGTTTGGGAAGCCTACCACGCACAAGTGTTTGGAAGGTACATACATGCCCATCTCCTTGATTACATAACGTGACCCGCGGAACATTTGTGTATAAGAATTTCCTTAAAAATTAGAGGAACATGTCCCATGTGTAAATTCGAGTCACTTCGAGTGAAACACTCGCTCATTGGTGAAAATCAGTAATTTTCAAACCCTCTTCAGGCCTTAGAAGTTTATAACACTTTTATTAAGAGACCCTATAATAATTTATATAAAGATGTCAGGGTGAGGGGGACACCAAAGTACTTAAGGGAAAAATATAATTAAAATAGTAAAATGGAAAAGAATGGAACCTAATAAAATCAGAAGATCCTGAAGTAAGAAAGTAGCGAGGATTTTATTAATCTCAGAGGGAGAAACACAGGAGAATGTCTTGGAGTGATGGAGAAAAGGATATGATTGATGGAGAAAGGGGTAAATTGTAGAAATCACGAAGTAAAGGTCAGAGGGGTATTAATGGATGGTTTGGGTGGAGAGAAATAGGTGACTGATCTGGAATTGAGAGAATTAATATGTTGAAATGAAATTTTTTTCTGAAGTACAGGTGGGATATAAGAAAGAAATCATATAGTGACAGAAAGCAGAGAATCGTGAAGTGTGTTTCAAATAATGGATAAGTAAAGGAAAAAGTTGTAATTGGAGTATGTAAGACTGAATGAGATGGTGACTGTAAAATAGAGAAAAGTAGAATGTTGGCTTGTATTCTTCGAATAAGTAGACATGTGAGATGGTAAAGATATGCCATAAGAAAAGATAAAGTACGGTTTGAAAGAGGTGAGGTGTAGCAAATGAGGAAAATAATATGAAAATATAGTGTGATGGAGAGAATGGGATAAGTGCAAATAATTGTTAGTTATATAATGGATTATGGCAATGGATGTATTTAATAAAAACGTAAAATATAGAGTAGTGTAGGGATAATGACATAGTGTAAATTGCAAAGAGTCAGGAAATGAAATGTGAAAAATATATGTAACGTAAATAGTAATTATTTTTAAAATTGTCGATGTAATGAAATTAAAGAGAAGAGAGACGAAGGGGATAG